ATCTATGCAGCTAGCCGTATCACAATGCGAGTTAACAAACTTAATGATAGTTGTACAGAGTAGCAATTTAGCGGCTCTGGAAGTTTGTTATTTGCATTCCAACGTGTATAGTAGGCCACACCTTAAGAGTGTATCTAAAGTCTCCAAATTCATTATTGAAAATTGCACCTTATGGCATTTATGTAACGTTCAAATTGCAGGAACAACTTCACGCGCTGCTGAATATACAATCGACTTAAAAAATTGTTGATCGTCCAGGGATTTTCGTAATAACTTACACCAATAATGAGAAATCTCTGTAAGTATAAGGTTACACAAAATGTAGATCGTCAACAATTTTTGAGTCAACTGAACAACATCTAAAAATTACAAAAACAAATACTTTGTTTAGTCATATAATTGGAGATAATAACTTAAGTCCGGCACTTAGTAATTAGACTAAAATACATTAATGGCTTAAGTATCAGAACTACTCCTAGGTAGCCCTGAGGCTATATTAAATTAAGTAAATTGTTTTCCGCGCCCTTACATCTAATACTTTACATATAGCCTCAGTATACACGAGGAAAGCATTTTATACCTGAGTTTACTTACCTCCTAGACTGACTAATGTTGAAACTCAATAATAAACTTATTTGTGTAGTTGAAACACCGCGTAATTGTTTCTCTGTGTCCGTAACAGAGGTGCGCCCACGCATGCCACACTCTATGATTTGTGGCGACGGTCCAATATTATCATAAATTTACAAACTGTTAGGGATGGAACCTGTATACGATGACCATTCGGTTTTGTTCTCAGTCGGTATTTTTTAACTTTTTAGACCTTAAAACGCATTGTTTCTTTCAACATTGACGTTTGACGTTTTAAAACAATATAGGACCAAGGGTACTCCCTTGACAGACAACATTTCAATAATTTCAGCGCTGTTTATTAACACCGTCGAACTTTCAACTACATTCTAAAACTACAAATTTCGTCTGTTGGTATTTAACAAAAAAATAAACCGAAGACTGCGCTCATAATTTGTCACAAACCTACTTATAGAATTATAAAGAATTCAGAGACATATTTAGAACTTTATTAGCCGTTAAAATCTTTTTAAATCTCTTTATGTGCGACTCTACATGGATTTCACGCCCCCGCTCAATTAAAAGCGGGCGGTTAAGAAACTTGCTCAGATTAATCAATTGATTAATTTGTAAATTAATCATATTAAGTTAGTAACAGGTCGTCAAATTTGCAACTTGTGTCGTGATTGACTTTTGAAGTTGATTACTTTGAGGTGAAGACAACGCATCTCTATACCAAATTCAAATATATTTACACGAATGAATGGATATAATTCTTTTTTGTTGGCAATTATCGTCGACCCCTATTGGCTCATCGGAATCACATAATAAAAACACTTCCTTTTTAAAATACGCTATTTTCTTATTCATAATAACAATAAAGTAGAACATACAAATAATTCAAATGACCATATTAAAATATTGCAGCAGGTCTAAGACATCGAGTATGTAACCAGTAATATGTGACCAGCCCGAATTGGAAACAAATCATGGGTGTCGTCAATTGTTTCACTTCAAATCGACACGTTTAACTTGAGCTTTGCTATAATTGACGAAATTTAAAAAATTACATATTTAATATTTAATTACCGATGAAATGTGATTCCGTTTGTTTTGTAATTAGATGTTTTGCTGTTTTTCCCACACCACTGAATGGAACAGCAAGATATTATCTTTATTACAATAAATGAAAAATTTTTTGGAATATACGGAGACGTACACACAGGTCAGTTGTTGGCTTTCTAATTTGTGATTTCAATGCAAACGAGAGTTAATATTTAAAAGTGATATAAGGCCCATTTGCCTGATGATGCCAAGGATGGCCCATATTTCGTTATATACTCGATGGTCTATTTCTAGTTATATACTCGATGGTCTAAGGTGGACTATTACAGACGTCTCTAATTAAGGACAGTCGGTAGAATGTAAGTATCCATCACACTTGTCTCCCACTGGGGTAGACATTGACGTAACGCGCCTCTACACTTTCGCATCTTCCACACGCGTCATTAAACACAATACCGCTTTATTCTTAGTACTCTTGACTTGATATTTTTAAGGACATCATAATTTAGCAGAAATAACTGTACACGTCAAGGTCTATGTGCGTATTAAGCCAAATATTTCAGAAGGTCTTTTTCCCTCCACGTTCGCTTTATATATTTGTTTCATTGTTCTAGTAACATCCATTATTTCCACATGAAATGACCAAATCATCGAACACTTGAGTGCACGAATGGAGCCCCCTCACGACGTCCATTCCTGTCTTGTACTCCTGGCGCACCCTGAGCAATAATCGACGATTAGCAACGATTAGATATCCTTTCAGCACGATGGCAAGTATTACAGTGCATGCAATCGATACGATAAATAGGGCTAGCCCTATTATGCTCCCGTAGATAATGCAATATCTCGCGCAAGTCGCGCCCTATAAGAGAAGAAGATCTAGAGATAGAAATGGGAATGCTTCCCATTTCTATCCTAGTCAGTACATGATTTGTCACATCGTAACGCTCTCTTAGGGAGTTACCGCATGTGAATAAGAATAAAACCGAAAAAAAACTCAGCAGATTTTGCAATTTACCAATAAAGTTTTGGCGAAAATACATGTCCCTGTAGAGTTCTACTACTTTAAACTTATTACATCACCATTCAGAAAGGAACTCCTTTAATTAGTGTTTTTCTTAAGCATTTCGTTTGTCAGTCTTAGCGTGCCAATCTAGACATGGCAATAATAAATGTGTGTATCTTTTCTATGCCGTATTTACTCTCTTAAACTAACATTTATGCCAAACACGCGTGTAATGGACATATAATTAAGTAAGCTTAGCTGAGATTTACAATTCTAACGTAAGTAGGAGCTATAACTTAGTTATTAACTTGGCCTATGAATGTAAAATTATTTGGCTTTTAACTGTCGTATAAACCTATAAGGATTAGGAGCGCGAATTACGACTTGATTATAATGCATTCAAGGCTTATTTCACATAGAATGTGCTAGTAGATATTACCAAGTAACTATTACTTTCAAACCTTAACAAAACCTTATATGATAATGAAAAAGATCACTAAGATACCTACAACTCAAAGACGGTTTACCGAAACTTTTTTTATGATATCAAAGAATGGAAGGATTAAATCGTCCACCTGGTGGTAAGCGACACACCTACCCATGACAGTCACTGAGGACTTTAAATCGTAAAGATCGGAGAGGCACAGGCTCCTTGTCAAAGAGTTCGTCCATGGAAGTACTTACACCTTCAACCCTTAAAACAGGAACGCAGTAATGCTCACAGTACTCCTTGATGATAGCAGAAATAGATAAGGAATACATCCCTGGAAGAACCCTGTCCCAAGGAGCCGTAGTGTATATGGCTCACCGATCGGACGATAAATGGATTAATACAGAAGGTGCTACAATAGCTTTTAAAGTCGATACTAAAAAAGAAAAGATTACTGTTCTTGTTTCTAGAGAAGCTGTTAACTTTTTAATATACATAGCAGTTAAAGTGATTACAAAGGTAGTTATTGAAAATAGATTTTAAAATTACGATGTCGTAAAGTCTAGATTTACAATCGACGGTAGCTGGTCGGATAATGGAAAGATTTTATGGACATTGATGTATTCTATTCTAAATTATAACAGAATGAAACTTAAAACCGAGGTAAAAAAGCCATTGATTCAACATTGTGTCGGAGTGAAAATGGCGAGTTTGACCGGAAATGATTTAGTCGGCCAAAATTTCATTTTTAATTTTCACTATGCATTTTATTTACCTTGATATTTTATAGAAAAGCTTACTGAAGAAATTGTATTGACTTTTCCGCGTGACTATGATTTCTCGTTGCCAATATCAATATAGGCTTTTGTCTTTCGCTATGTTTGCGTTCAGGAGATTCTTATACAGGAGAACGGAGATATTCATTCAAAGATTCAAAAATGAACATTTTTAATACATTGGAAAAAAAAAAACAAAAACCTGTCGTACCCTATAAGAATGATTTACTACCCTCGAAACTATCACTTAATTACTCTTTACGACCAATGATAAATCCCCACAATTTATTATCAATTACAATGTACTAGTATCCTCTCTAATAAATTCAGATGTGGCAATAAAATATTTATAACACCATTTTAATGATGTTATCGTGTTTTCTTACAATCTTTACACGGAATTAGAGTTTCGACACTGTTTTATGATTTTACTGCCGCGAGTTTTTGGTTGTTTATTTTTGAAATCCCTTTGTTTGTTTTGGCGTAGTTTTAAATCAAGTTCTTGTGTTCGATTTATTATATAGTGTGCTTTCGTTTTTAAACGTTTTGTTGGGGTGTGATATATTATTGCAAAATCCTTACCTGGTTCCGAATATCTTGCTTTTTCTTCAGTACTTTGCATTATACGCTTTTTGTTCTGAACGGAATCATATTGTTGTTGTTGTTTAAATATTTGTAAGTAAACCAGATACCAATTTTCCCACGCACTATCTTATTATGGAATACTGATAAGTGTCGTAAACATGGAGTGCCCCAGAAATTGTAGTTCATAACGTGATTACAAATCCTTTAGGGGGATTTTAGCCAAACAAAATTTTCACAAAGTAATGAATATCAAATATGGTTTTTCACAACATTATCCATAATCTCCCTTTCTTGATTTCGAAATACACGTTTCCGCCCAGCAACATATGGGAGATTATGGATTATAATATTATAATAAATGTATATGGGATCAGGATTGGTGTTTACTTTGCGAATTGTTGTAAATTTCACTAAAGCCACGCTTAATGCTCCTATTTGTTTAACACAAATGTTAAATCTCGCTCGTACTCGCCGCTTAGACTTTCGTAATCAATGCAAATCCCACCTTAATAGGTACCGCTTGCGTAAATTGTTGGTGCAAAGTTCGAATTAATGTGACCAAACATACCTTTGCATTCATTAGCGTCTCTAGCAGTGGCTCGTCCCCAGGGTCGGTCGAAGTGGAAGGGCTTGCATCTCTCGCAGTCACGGCCAGCGGTGTTGTGCTTGCAGTCGCACGACAGCTGCGTCACGCCGGCGCCCGAGCCGCCTTCCTCGGTCGACTTCATTGGGATGCATCGCGACGCGTGCCCGTTGCACTTGCACCGACCGCCCACCGCGAAATCGGACACGGCATAATGCTGCGTACCGGCAGCCGCTTGCTTTTTGCTATCCACCTCATCCCCCTCGTTTACCATGTGCAACCGATTGAACACCACCCTCACATCGGTAGCCGTCACCCAATCTTGCAGAACCGGCGACACATCGAAACTAGCTGCACTGGGGCGACCCTCGAGCGTGCTAAAAGCGAGTCGAGCGCCACCCGCACTATCCCCGGCTAATCTGTGCGAATCCGAGCACCTGGCCTCCTGCTCATTAGCAGCAGTCACGGTGGCTTTGTTCGGGCGCCCATACACTCTCCGGCACTGGCTCGAGTAAAATTGAAAAGGTTGCCATGTCACGCCGTAATCGGCACTCTTGTAAACGGCAACGGAGTCAGGCCGAGCAGCTTTCGGACAGAACTGTAAACTGACATAAGTCAGCTCGTACTTCTTCCCGAGGGATAGGGTGAGGGAAACGTTGTCCGGAGGGGAGTCGTAGGAGGCGGGAGGGAGAGCAGCGGATCGCCAGCAGGTGACGTCATGCGGGTTGTTCAAATCGGTGAGGTGGGTCGACGGATGGCGGCGATCGGATCTCGCGGCGTCGCAGACGCGGCAAGCATTTTCGACAGGTTGGTCGCCGGGAGGGTCGCAGAGGCGCTCGGGGCCGCGGCGGCCACAGACGGACGAGGCCAACACGGGAGCACCGAAGGCGGCGTTGACGAAGTCGGGGATGCAGCGACGCGGACGGCCATCCTCGTAACAAGGGTCGGGCGGTGCTGCGGCGGCGACCATCGACAGCACCGCGCACGCGAACACGGCCGCGGCGGCGCGGGCGGCTCGCGGCATATCGCGCTTCCACACTCACTCACAGCACTCGCGTAAAGTTTGTCCGGGCACGGAAGGAGAGCGGCGATGCGTCCGCTCGGATCGGAAACCACCGGCAGACTGGCGGGGCGCGGAGCTTCCAAGCTTGATGCCCGCGCCTACTGGGATACTTCTGTTTTCATTAGTGAAAGTTTGTTATGTTTTTTTTTTGAGGAAATTAGATTGGCCAATTTGTTTTCACATCAAAATTTAAATGGAATCCTCCTACTTGCCCTACGAGTACTTTTTGTTTACGCTTACTTATTAGCTTTCTCTCTTTTGTCTATTTAGTGCGGCGTCTTCAATATTTTGATTTTTTTGTGTTTGCTATCGGAACTTTGCTATTTATAGAAATGTCCGTAAATGACCAACTTGCGTTTGTTGTATTTATAATTTCCTTATATATAACATGACTTTATTTAAACGGGATCCTTCCAGTCGTGATTCTAACAATAAGAAATCGATTCCAAATGTGTACGGCACGCAGCGTGGTGTTTCGTGCGTCGCGCGCTTTTGTGCCGAGTGCAAGAATGCAGAACACTTTTGGTACCTGAACCACAAAATAGGCACCTTCATAATAATAAAATAGACTGTACAATCGACTCCGCGTCTCTGTGTCTGGAGTGTTCAATGGGAAACACATAAACGTCACATGTTACCATTATTACTTACTGTTTTTATAGGTGTCTCATTACATACGTTACTTTCTGTCACTATATTATTTTTGAAATTCATCATTCTCGTCATCCCATTAAACATCCCACAGCTGTGCACGGATCCCCTCTAAAGAGAGTGTTCAGGCCATTATGACTTCACAGACTGACCAGGGGTGGTAAATCTTTGCACCTGCAGTAGTGTTGTAACTTTAAAAACACATGTATTTTTTCACATTTTTGAAAAAAAAACATTTTGGTTTTGTGGCACCCGGGTTTTTTTTCTAAATTAAGTTTTTTTTTCTTCAGAAAAAGTAAAATGGAATAACTGAAACAAAATAGGACACTAACTTTTGTTTTAAAAATGTATATACGTGAATATATATATTAACTGCTTTAACTGCCTCTGTGGCCGAACGGTTACCATGCCGGACTGCCACGCAGAGGTCCCAGGTTCGATTCCCGGGCCGGGAGAAATGTTTGTATGGCCTACATTTATTTCTCTCGTGAGTTTGGGTGTAATTTGTGGTTGTCTGTGTGTGTCCATGGCACCCGCGACACAGGGTTTCCCTAGTGCGGGGCTATGTTGAGTGTGTGCGTTATTTATTTATTATTTATTTATATATGAAACATGTTTATTAAAATCAATTACCATGATAATTATAACAAAAATTTAATCTTCAATTGTGGTGTTACTAGTGTTACTATATTACAAGTGTTACCCACACTTGCAATGTCATCAAAATTTTCTGTGTCTACCGAATAATTTTATATAAGCGGCTTACTAATAATTCTATGTAAATGTTGCTATATAAAGGATATGTGCTATGTGGAAAAAATATTGATATCGCGCTTAGATAAATAAATAAGTAGTGTTTTTATCAGTAATCATCAAAGTAGCGATGCAACAGCAATCGATAGATTTAAAAAAAAAGGTAAAATGTTAGAATCCCTGCATTTTCCCCACAGCAGCGTTTATCCCACAAAATGACCAATTGAGTTGAAATTCCCTGCAATTTGGGGAATTCGCCACAAATTGACAACACTATGAGTGTTGCCCATTTATTTGGAGCAATTTATCTATGAAGAACAATATTAACAACAAAAAAGGAAATGTAGTAAAAAAAAATACAATTGTCATATTGTCATATTTTTATTTTCATAGTTTTAGAAAAAAACGTACTCCAGAAAAAAAAGGGTTTCTTTTCATGTTTTTGTCATTGTTTTTTTTTCACCTCAGAAAAAAAACGGTTTTTTAACAACACTAACCTGCAGGTTTTATCACGACATTTCCCTCCATCGTTGACGAGAAGTGTTGCTACGAAACATCCACTAATGAGACATTAAAGTCATATTGAAAATCAGCGGTTCTCCCACTAATCAACAACTAGCCAAAGTTAATAACCAATTCATTTGAAAGATTTATCCTAGTCTTATAATTCATCAGGAAAAGTACTCTATTACACGGTAGCAGTGTTTAATATCTGACAATAAAAAAAATTGTATCCTATTATGAAATAGGACTTTGAAGATTGGTTCAAACGAATCTATATAATAATAATAAGTGGTTTAGCGCATTTATCAATTAACACCAACCACCCGTATAATGTAGCGTAACGTTAATTAAATCGGAGATAAAATTCATTAGCTGAGACATCATTAATTTATAGTTGTTCTTTATTTATAAACTTTTACGATATTAAAGAATACAATTCTCGACTTTCCGTCACGATAGCATTTGGAGAAGATTGGAGACATTTTAGAAAGAGAGAAAGATTTTAAAAAGATAAACTGAACTCTTTTTTTTATCATCGAGGTCTTAGGGCCGTATTCCAGAACTCTACTCAATGTTCAAGTCAGGATCTGAGTATGATTTCAAGCACTGGAAATACGATCCTAATGGCAGGGACTTGATTATGATTTCGAGTGCTTTAAACCATACTCAAATCCATTTGAGCATTGAGTAGAGTTCTAGAATACGACCCTTAGATTTTCGCGATTGTTTCACATTGAAAACTTTTCGGAACCTTCACAGGTCTCATAGTGATGGCTGACTGAGATGGTAAAGTCATTTATGTCTATTATTTACCCAAATCATCTTATTTTTTACTATAGGCACAGAAGTTATTAACTTAAATATCTTATTTTTAATTTATTCCAATCCAAATGCAAAGAATATTCCAATTTACCCTATACGTTTTGCTTAATATTTTATTTTATCAATGCGAATAGTTACTAAATTTAATTTATTATTTATTATATTATTGTAACTTTTTTATTAAAAAAAACCGACCTCAAAAGTTCTGGTCTGGTGGTGGACTGGTCCTACCAGGAATCCAACCCGGGACCTCTTCATCCAGTGCCCACAGTGCAAACCATCGGGCCATCTAGGTTGTTTATTCCACCCAAGCAAATATTCGTTTCAATCACACATTGTTCTTTCATTCAATAATGTTAACTTGATTAATCCTGCTGATTTGACAGCAGCCATCTTGTTTGAAACAACTCTAAACTTGATAACAACATGCAGTGATCAAATTAAAATTATTGCTAGGGGAAAGGTGTACGAGATAATCCTTGAAGGTAAGATCATCCTTTTCAATTGTAGCAAAACTAGTAACGTCATCTAGATATTTTCTTCAGTAAAATGTAGGCGTCAATGTGCCATGTCATATGTCATATCTCAATATCTCATCAGTCAATTCGTAATAGCGATGTGAGAACACAAATTGTGTGAGTTTGATCTAAGGTAAAGTTGATTAAAAACTTAGGCAACTTCCATTCTAAGCAATCAATTGCTAAGATATTTGTGTTAGTGGCTTTGTATAATGCTCTATTTACTTTTTAATGGCGTGGTAACAGTAGACAGTATACAGGCTATTTTGCCGAACAGAAAATAAAAATTAGTAAATTGGGGCAAGATGATTATGGTTTTGGTGTACGAGATGATCCGTGGGGATTATCTTGAACTATTTATATTGTTAATGTACCATTTTTAATTTGTTTGTTTTCCGAGTACTGAAGTCTCTTAATTAATTAAATACCTTGCAATACGAATAAAATAGTAGAAAACTGGATTTCGTTTACATGATCGATCTCAATTAATAACAAATATAAATTCTTTTTTCTTATTTTAAAGCAGGCCGCGTAATTATAACGGAAAAACGAATCGTAGTGGGTGGTCGGAAGACTATGATCTAAAGAACTAGAGGCGTAAAAAGTTGGATGCCACATATTGGTTAGATTGGCAAGTAAATTGGTCGCAATAAGTACACGTTATGTCATTAAAAAGACGGGCTAAAGGTAAAAATAAAGGTTCTGTTTGTTCAATGAAACATTAAGGTGAAAAAAAAACTGTTTTCATCAGATGTGTTAAACAGGAAATCGAGCTCGTAAAGTAAATATCAAAAAAAATATCGCCCACCCTTAGGTCCCTGTAAGATATTAATTAATTAGGATTATTTGTTCTGTGCCCAGCAGTGGGCATCGTATGGCTGAGTGACGCGATTTGTTCTCGTAGTTCCGTAACTGTTATTTCATATACCTAGATTACATAAGTAAGGACTTTGTTAAGTCTAAAAAGTTGTTGTTTTAATTTGTTTCTACCAAAACCTAGAAATTTTCCTAAATAGGGGCAAGACGATCCAGGAGATCATGAACGGGTGTTCATGATCTCCTGGATCGTCTTGATCGGTGTCCAAGACGATCCTTTAGTAGGGTTTTAAAAATATTCAAATATAATAATGAAAGATCAAAAAATAAAACGTTTTTAATAAGACAACAAGTAAATAGATAAATTTTCTGTAATTCAAAGTTTTTACATCTGCTTTAAGCTGAATATCTTTTAAACTACCACCATTCTCACCCTTAAGGCTTCACCCTTAAGGGGATCATCTGGTACACCTTTCTCCTACAATCATTGTGATTGATGTGCTCAGATGGGAATAAATTACATTATCACCTTAAACAACATCTTGTTCATTACAAGCATTTCTTTTTGTTACAGTCTATAGTTATATCTCCAATATAAATGAATACATCTGTGATAAACATTTGGTGGAATAATGAAAGACATTAAGTAGAGTATTTAAAGTAGAGTATATTTTTCAATTGTGTTGTGTAATTATGCCACACGCCTGTCCATAACAGTTGCAGTGCCACTAAGAGCTGTCAATCGCAAAGATCTGAGTCACCCTGAGACATAAGTTAAGAATATGCCTGTAATTTCACCAGCACCTTTACATTTCAAAACAGGAAGCAATATTGCTGACATTTCTGCTTGGCGGCAGGAATAGGTAAGGTGGCATTAACTTCCTGGATGAATTCCTACACAAGAAGATCTACGATTAATAAATCTAATGCAGATATAGATTATAGACAAATAAAACGAGTTTAGAATGCAGAAGAACCTTTAGGTTTAG